CTTTTTTCTGCCCTTTCCTTTTGAGAACCAAAATACGTCAAAATTTTAAAAGCAGGGCACCATTTCTTTAACTCCATTTCCCAATTCAAGATAACAGAAGTGGGAACAACTATAAGATGAGGGCCCCAGTTAGCTTCTTTACAAGCCAAGTGCGCAAGCAATGCTATAGTTTGAATCGTCTTCCCTGAAACCAAAAACTAAAAACAAGTCGCATTCTACCAAAGAGAGCAGAGTGTGCCAGAGCATCTTTTATTTGTAAACGTAAAGAAACAGCGACCTCTTACTTAGCTTTGAAAAAGATTTTCATGTCCTCAAAACAATCTCAAGAGCTATTTACCTAAACCCATTTCATCCGCAAGTATCCCGTTCAACCCCTTCTCGTATAACGTTACTAACCAATCCAAACCGACCATTTGATACTCTCGCAAAGTGCCCCGAATTAATGGTGGCACAGCAGTTTTCACTTGCGTTGTTTCCAATGTATATCCTTTTGGTTGAAACTTCTGAGCCTCTTCAGCAAAATTATTCAATTCTTTCTGCCTTTCTTCACTATTCTCAGACGTTAACTTCACGTAGTCAACACCAACAAGGGCTTCGGAAGAACATTCTTCCGATAAAGGCAGAAAAGACTCCCTCTCTTCTTTGAGCGACATGGCAGAATTACTTCTAGTAATAGCTTCGCTTTTCGATGACATCGAATGTTGTGGACTACCTTGAATAGAGAAAGCAACAGATAAAAAAAAACTAATGGCATAATAAACTTAGAACTAGTATTGAAAGCTCACCAGGCGCTGAAGCATTCTTCGCCATGTCGCCTCCGGCTACCTTCTTTTTCTTATTCTGTGGTTCCTGAGTACTTTCATCAAGCTGCACCACAGTAGAGTCCTCTTGCTTGTCTGACGCAACAGCTTCATTTCTTGATGGCGACAAAACTTCATCCTCATCTTCTTCCTCCTCTATCCCGCTGTTCTGGATGTAACGGTTGTCAGAGGGAACTCCATTTTCCACAGATTCTGCTTTCGAAGTAGAAGGTAAAGAGTCTTTTATGCTATCCCAGTACCCCGCTGGTATCTGAAGACACAAATGTTAAACAGATGACCTAAAACACTCGAAATGAACATGACAATCGCCCTAAAAGAAGCAAATGTTCAACAGAATTATCAACATACCGACTCAAGCAAATCATCCAGATTCATATCACTTTCTTTTTCCAATTGTGCAACTTCATCATCCACGTCACCCATAAATTCTTCTGCCTTCGCTATGGTGGTTTCATCATCAGATTCGGATTCGTAATCAAACTCTTCATCACCTACCAAAAAAAAATTAAGAAAACGTAATCAGACCAAAAGATAAAAAAAAAATCAATAAATAAAAAACAAAAGAATTTAAGAAAGGCGAGAAAAATAAGAAAGAATAAAACGACGAAAATAAGTGAAAAACAGATTAGAATATCTGAGAAAAAAAAAAGATTTCGCACGGATCTTTCGTCTGCTTAGAAAGACAAAATAACGAAAAAACGAAAAAATGGCGATTTTTAAAAATACACCTTTAAAAAAAAACAAAATATAGCTCCAGCAATATACCTTTATTATTTAATTGCTTGAGGTTTTTCTAAATAGTAACTCAAAATAATGCCTATCCGTAAAAAAAAACGTAAAATTGGCACAAAGTTGCATCTAACTGAGCTACTCCATTAAATCAGCAACTGGAAATTTAACAGCAACAATAAAGTCAAAATTGCACCCACTGCATCGAAAATCTAACACCAACCTTCATCTTCCTCACTGCTAACGCTGGATGAAGAACCATCTTCAGATTTTTCCGCCTGTAGTCCTTCCTGAACCATAACACTCAGTTTATCAGCGTGCCCAACCATCAGCTCCAGCTGTTGGTCTAACGCCTTTCTCTTCATAGCATCCATTACCTCCTACAGAAGAAAAAGCCCGTAAGCGTAAAAAAGTACAAATGTAACAAAAAAAAATCATCTGGCAACATACTTGCACACGTATTTCGACGACTTTATCAACATTTTGCCAGAAATCTCGAACCATTTTTGCAATGAGACCACAAACTCGCTTCGCTTCTTTGACCGCGCGCTCAGCAGCACGATCCGCCTCCATTGCTTTTTCTCTAACAACCTTCGCAACTTGTACAGCAAACTGAAAAATGGCAACATCTCAGTAGAATGTTAGCATTATGACACCAAGCAAAAAGTGTCGCTCAAGTAAAAGTTAGCAAACTATGTCAAACCAAGCACCTTCTTTGCAGCATTTCTTTTAAAATGCCTTTCCTGACGAAAATCTGCAGCCATCCAAACAACCTCTTCTAAAAGAAAATCCCAGTGGGTTTTATTTCGAGGAGGCATCTCTATCATCGGTAATCGAGAAGCGGTCCACATTCCTTGCCTTCTGAGCTCTTGTATACGAGAAAGTACTTGGGCTTCCTTAACGTCAATAATTGCAGAAATGGAAAAAATTTAAGCCAAAATGCGCTCTTGCTTTGAAAAAAAACTCCAAGTTGCACGACGAAAAACGCTAAATATTACAATTTTAAAGAAAAATAACACTACTACTGGTTTCAAAACCAAAGCCGCTGACAAATCTCCACCTGTTTCGCTGCTCGTTCAACATTCGATTCAACACCTGTAGCGATTGATCCCCGCGGAGTAGCCTGTGAAGTAACTGCTGACAGGGAAAGCGCAGACTGTGACGCAGTGAGAGCAGAAGACGTAGACGGCTGTTGACCCGCAAATGAAGTACTTGGCTTAAATATGAAACAGAAATAAGAGAAGAAGCATCTGTAAAACTTAACTATCCATTATTGAAAAAACAAAAAACGAATCATCAAAATCTAGAAAGTTGCATTAAAAAGTGATAAGGAAATTGATTAATTCAAAAACAATTTGCGATATTTGCTTATTATCTAAACATGATACAGAGGTTATGAACAAATTCAATTATGGACCTTACCAAATCCGGAACGTCCTCCACTTTTATCGAAATGGGCTGCAGTTCCGTCGTTTGCTTGACTGGTTCCACGTTGGGTTGAAAAGTTCCATAAACTTCTTCACTCAAATTGTCACCAAGCAAAGACTCAACAATTACAGGAAAAAAACTAAAAAGGGAAAATTAATCTGACACACAAAAAAACAGCAAAAGACGAGTTTCAATGAATGCAACCTTGTTTCACCAGCTTTAAGTGTCGGCAAGAACAACTCCATCTTTTTCTTACATTCTTTTAATAAATTACTGCTAGCACTGTCACTATCTCCGCCACATCTAAAAAGATAATCCGGGTGCCAAAAAATTACGTATATAATCAATAAAAATCGTTAACGAATTAAAAAAGCAAACAAGATTAGATGCAAAGAAATAGAGAGCTTTAAAGTCGCTCACCCGTCAAGTAAGAAAGCCTGCTCTTCATCTAAAAAATGCATCTGAAGCAACAAACGCGCCGCTAGCTCATTACGACTCTTCTTTTTGAAAGCCGAAGATGGTAACACCACATTGTCGTCGACCTAAAACTTTGCAGAAATACTGGAGAAGTACACAAATTACAAGTGTGCAGGTATCCATTTACTGTATATAGGTAGGTAAAAATTCATCAAATATGCTGATACTGAAAATTAATCCAACCCTTGATATATCCGTCTCACAAACGCCTTCACATGCGAAATCACTATCACCGTTGGTCTCCATCCTGCTTCGCCGGTGCGAACGTCTCTTATGACGACTACCTGACAGCATTCAGCACGGCCAGATATAGATACTGCTAGCCTGCCCAGGCACCATTAAAGCGAGTCCCTAATTGTACACGATGAAAAGCACTGTCTAGAAAAAAAAAAATAATGTATTCAGAGATGAAGAACGACAAGGGGAAAAAAGTAAGAAATCAGTAAATGGCAGCTAAAATGATAATAATTTTCACAAAACAATTTAATAAAGCATCAAAGAAGTAAATGTAGACAAATCATGGCAGTCATTTCAAAGTACTACAGAGCGGAGTACCAAAATACTAGACTAAAAATTTGCTCGGGAAGCCGTCAGCTGTAGCAAATCTTGCACCTTTTCTCTCCATTCAAAAAATTTGGTTTCGAAATGGAAGGATTAATGAAAATTAATCGAAACACCTTTGAAGTATGAAAGCAGAACACCAAAAGAAAACTTAAAAGAACTAAAACTCCACAAAGGTGTTTCCTTCGATGAAGAACACCAAAATTTTTATAAAAGAAGTGGTAACGTTATTTAAAAATCGTAGCTATAGTTGAGTAATTTTACTTTCAAATTAATTAGGAAAATTGTGTTATACAAAAAAAAAAAATTTACAAATTTTTAGAGTAACAAAACTAGAGTGACTAGAAACAGCATCATTCCCATGAACATAAAAAGACGACCAAAAAATTGTGAATATTAAACCATATCAAATAAAAGTTGAAATTCAAAGAGAAAGTGACCATTAGAACAAGAAATACAACTGCTGGAAAAATACAAACTATACCGAACAATAACAGTTAAATCCCCGCCGTTATTTATCACCATGGAATTTAGTTCCCTCGTCACCCACCACACCAAATAGAAAGAATGCCATCGACAGCGACGCGGCCGCTGTTGCGTCGCTTTTGTTAACGCTTCGCGCCCCGGCTATTTCGCTGTAATTACATCCTATAGCAGCCATAAAACTATGTCGCTAGTAATTTTTTCCCGAAACGAGTGTCCGCGAAATGGTGAAAAACAACTTCGGTTATCAATACATTCTCCCAGGCTCTTGATACGACAAGAGAAATTGTTGAAATAGTTCCAAGTAGATATTACCTCGTTTTGAAATTTTTAAATGGCTAAACTTGGCTATCTGCTGGTGAAATGTAATGTTGTTGTTGTTCTCCTCTGCAGTTGTTGACGTGTAAATCTTCAGTCTTTAATTTTGCATAGTTTATCCAAGGGTTGGTGAGAGTCGGACCTAAAGTGTTTTGTCCATAATGAATTTGGAGCTTCATCATTTTTAAGCACAGAAATAGCTTGGATGAGCTGGAGACGGAGAAGTTCTGTGGAAAAGTTCAGATTTTTTTGGTAACGTTTAAGAAGACAGAGATTATTGTGCTAGATTCTGGGGTTCAGTCTTCTATTTCTTTCACGTCTTATCCGTCTGGATTTTTTCAGCAGTCTTTGGATGGCTTCTTGCCTAATATGGTGCAGTTGATCAGCGCATATAATGCATGCCTGATAAAAGTTCAACAAAGAGGACTTTTTACATCTTGAAAAAAAGAACGAAAATGAAAAAAGAAAACATTAGGTACGCTGGAAAATATATAACAAAAAATTTTGAAAAGGAAAATCAAATAACTAAATGAGTGAATAATGGGACCTAAGAAATATCTAGCCACCAAGGAAAGTACGTCGGAATTCTTGCATCCGTTATCATTTAATCTTTGGAAATTTGAACTGACGGGTTCTGAGTTGCTTTCTTCGCATTCGACTGCTGCGCATTTTTACTTGGAAGGAAATCTGCTGCTATCTGTTTTTGGAACGGTCACCGTCGCGCTTACGCTAGAGCCAAAGTTGCGGCTGACCCTTTCTGAAGTTAGGGGCGTTATGCATACTTCTAGTAAAGATGGATAATTTTTGAACCTGATTCTTGGTAATTTTTTGCCTTATCGTACCATTGTAGGAAGCTACTTTTTTTATTTTCACTTACAGGTTTTTTCTATTTTTATTTTTAAGGTTCTTCACCAAGTTAGTTTTATAAATTAGTCTTATTTTAGAAGTTTTATACGGGGTTCTTCCTCGTTCCAGAAGTCGAACTTTAACATTGTAATTTTCCCAGTCAGAAATACCCACGTAAAAAGCCTTGCAAGATACGACGACTTGAGGTGTAGTGCAAATCAACCTGTTTTATTCAATTTTTCATTTTAAATTTGGTTCTGTATCTTGTTTACTTCATATTGTCAAAATTATCTCTGTTTTCCCTCACTAGTGAGTAACCGTTTTTGAGAAACAGGTTGTGGTATCAAACTGCATCTTTCAGGCAGCCTATCGTTTTTCTCCATTAAACGGAACTACAGAGCGCGCCGTAGAGTTTCTGAAGATTCTGTTGGATATTAGTTGCTGTTGAGTTGGTTGGTTTCTGGTTTTCAATTGGGTTCGTCAAGATTAAGTAGCGCCAGTTTCTGTCATTTTTTTTTTTGTCTTTTTTTTTTTTAAGTTTACTTCTTCAGCAGTCCTTATCCTCAAAATATTTATGTACTGTTAAGCCTTGAGCAGTATTATACCAATGTGAACAGTAAATCTCGGGGGAAACCCAAAGTTCTGCTGCCCATCACAGGATGAAAGGATTTTCAGGTTTGAGGAATGAAGAATTCTTCAAATCTTTCAAACCTGATAATTTTCAATGCTTCACTTTTTAGATTAGCGTTTCATTACTTTTCGCTGGTTATACATGAAGTAGTGATCAGAAAGTTGTGAAATTGTCGTAAATGAAAGGAAACTTTTTTGACATTAATAGAGAAAAAATTTCCAATGTTGAACTGGTAGTCGGCACTTGGATAATGCAGTAGGCAGATAAAAATATGAAAACTTGTAAAACACCAGGTTCACGGTGTCAAGTCTTTCAGAAATTGGTTTTAGTTTTTATATTACTGATTACTAAAGTAAATAAGCGTAATCTCGTAAACTTTCAAAACTTACTCGTGCTTTTGGATCAAGAAAAAATCGGTCTTCAAGTCTTCAGTGGACGTTCAAAGTCCTGAAAGGCAAAAGGCAAAGAAGGAAGGCGAACGGTAGGCAAATTAGGAAGATGAATGGAAACAGCAAGCCCAAACCTTTGGAGGACATGGAGCAGGGACAGCAGAACCTAATAGGGAAGTTTCGGGTTCTAGCTGGAGGGATGCATTTTAAAAAGTAATAGTAAATAGGAATTTTGTACCAGCTTTATAACTTTCAATCACGACGACTGCAATAGAGAGGTTATCGAAAGAAGCGGTTATGGATAAAACTGTTGTCATGTAATTAATGTCAAAGTCTGGTCTGAAATAAAGTCTTTGTAATTTTTAGTGTCAGCCTAGAAAACTACAGTTAAATTTGTTTATTGATTGAATTCTGTTCGAAAAAATCGATCTTTTCATTGCGTTTAGTCTAGAGCAGTTATCACCGTGAAGGATACTTTTGCACCTTTAACAGTGCAGGTTTTTTGCATGAACGATATCATAAGGTTTTGGTAGTATTGTCATTATATTGTCAGATCCCTCAATATTTAGTGTAGAGAAATGAGATGTATTGCTTCTTATACCTTATACACGCTGGTTAGATACGTCTATTATCCCTTCTACTTGCGCAGTAGTTTTACTAAAATTATAGCTGGATAGTTTTTTGGTAAAATCGAAACTAGGTGCATTAATGTTTTGGTTGTTCAAAAACTGGGGGAAGCGAGTAGATTTGATGTAAGTTTTTATCAAGATTTCCCCACTCTTCACTCAACCGATCCAGAACTTCAGTGCTCCGTAACCTCTCTTTCAAAATTTTTTATTTCTGTTAAATTATCACAGTTTGATGAATATTTTTTCCAAAACTGTTCTGGTTTTGATATTTTGGGACAGCCAAAAAATTTTGGAGGGATTCAATTGACAACTGAAGGGAATTGAAATTTGGGGTGTTCACATGTTTCAAAAATGGAGAATAAGGCATTTTTGTTTTTTTTCCATTTATGTACCTACCAGATTTTGTGGAAAAAACTTTGGTTTCCAGTTGGAGTACCAAAATCCTCAGCGTTTCGATTCTTGTTTGAACTTCTGGGGTTCTAGTGAAGTTGTTGGCAAACTGTTCAGCTTCAACTGAAGACAAAAAGTGGAACTTTTTGGTTACCGAACCAGTTCTGGTTGCTTGCCTCAGGCCCCTCCAGGTTACAATGGTGAGTTCGACACGCAACACTTCGTGAGCTGGATTGTAGACCGTATAGCACTGATGGTTGTTCGCAATACCGACTGCAAAGCCTCGTATTTTATAATCCATTGAATGATTCATTTAGTTCGGAGGGTCGAATGCTAGTGCATTCTTCATTCTTGTAGTAACATTAGGTCTGTGCAGCGTTAAAATTAATTTAAAAAGTCGGAGAAGTAAACTGTTTACAAAAACTGATTTATACCGGACTTTAAAGGCGCAAATGTCGGCAGATGAGAAGTTAGTGGAACTTACTGTAAAATTAAAATCTTGTCTTGATGAGGTTTGCATATCTGCTCATTCTTCGCGAAAAGTGAGAAGGTAGCCGAAAATGCTTCAATTTTCGCATCAGATCTTGTTGAAATGGTAAAAAGGCACTTTTTTTTTTAATGAAGCGCAACAGAGTGTAAGTTTGCTTGGAGGCAAAGACCTTCGATTACGCTCTGAAATAAAACAGTTTGGAACTGTGATTGTTTCAGAGAATATGGTTACCAATGAAAGAATGAGCTCAGTATTTGGAATATGGTAAGAAAGCTTGGGAAAAACCAAGTTCTAGTTTCTTCTCAAGTAATCTTAATTTTTTAGCACGAGCGGATTCATATTCATTTCTTTTTCGAATCAAAACTGGCATTAAGTCCTTAAGGTATGCCGATTCTTATGAGTCTGAACTAGAACTGGTATATTTATAGTTTTCGGGTT